CAAACTGCACGGTTGCAGGCCTTTTTCTTTCTGAATGACCCGTTTTTGTGTCTGAAAGAAATCTGCACACTCACTGACCTTTTGAAAGGTTCTCCCTGTGTCAAACGATAACACCGCAGTTTTTTTTCCCCTCTTGTGCTCTTTTAAAGCCTCATTTAAATGCATGTACACATATTTGCAAACAATCTAATATGAAAATGAAACTAAAACCATGTCTCCCCTCTTCAACTTTCTCAATATATAAATACAAATCAAATGTAAGACTATTCATCATTCTGTCCACATTAGACCCCAGTTTCCAAATAATAATGATATATAATTTACACTTACGTTACACTTCCCTGCAAAAAACAAACTGAAAAGTAGCTTTAAGATTTCCTATTACAGTTTCCTCATCACTACATCTATTCTACTTATATAGTTTTCACTTTCATGATAAAATGGCATTCAAATTCATAAGGCTTTTCCATAATAATCATCTACACAAGTTCATTTTGATCACATTTGTTTTCTTTCTTATTTGCTCTTGATAAACCATCTGCTTAAATGTTTCCTGTGATATGAATGGTTTTTAAATTGTACAGTGTAGCATTAAACTTCTAATGCAAGTTTCATTTCTAGTGAAATGGCAGAATGTTTTAAATACTGCATCTTTACTATTAATTGTGGGCTAAAATGGTAAAGGACTGTTTTAAAAGGAAGAGCTGTAGGAGTTTGTGTATTTTTAAACACAAGATACTGGAAATCATTGAGAGTTCTGTTTGCTGTTTTGCAAGCAGTGGGGGAAGGAATGATAAGGAACCACATCACCCGGCTGTGTGCACAGATTAAAATTTGACCAGAAAATGGATTGATGATTGGTATGAATAGTCTTCTCTAGTTGTCGATATTGAAGTAATCAACTTGATGACAAGATATAGGAACAGAATTCAGCCAATTAGCCTATATAATCTTCTCTGCTTTCAATCATGGCTGATATGTTACTCAACTCCATTCTCCTGCCTTGTCACCATAACCATTGATCCTCTTACTAATCGAGCTTTTCTGTCTCTGTCTTAAATACACTCAATGACATGATCTCTACAGTCATTTGCAGCAATGAGTTCGACAGGTCACCACCCTCTGGCTGAAGAAATTCCTCCTCATCTCAGTACTAAAGGCTTGGCTCTTCACTCTGGGGCTGTGGTTCTATTCTTGGGTCCTAGCCATAGAGTTGTAAAGCACGGAAACGGACTCTTCAGTCCAACTCGTCCATGACGACCAGATATCCTGAACTGATCTAGACCAATTTGCCAGCATTTGGCCCATATCACTCTAAACCCTTCTTATTCATGCACTCATCCAGATATCTTTTAAATGTAGTAATTTTACCAGCCTCCAACACATCCTCTGGCAGCTCATTCCATACATGCACCACCTATTGCATGAAAAACCTGCCCTTCAGGTCCCTTCTAAATCTTTGCCCTCTCACTTTAAACCTCTGCCCTCTAGTTTTGGACTCATCCAACCTGGGAAAAAGACCTTGGCTATTCACCCTATCCATGCCCCTCATGATTTTATAAACCTTTTTTAAGTCATCCCTTAGCCTCTGTGCTCCAGGGTAACAAGCCCCAGCCTATTCAGCCTTTCCCAACAGTTCAAACCCTCCAATCAGGGCAACATCTTTGTAAATCTTTTCTGAGCCCTTTCAAGTTTAACAACAACTTTCCTATAGTAGGGAGACCAGAATTGAATGCAGTGTTCTTGAAGTGGCCTAACCAATGTCCTGTACATTCACAACATGAGCTCCCAACTCCTATATTTGATGCACTGACCAATGAAGGTAAGTGTGCCAAACGCCACCTTCACCAACTTCAAACAAAAAGTGCTGGAAATCACAGCGAGTCAGGCTGCATCTGTAGAGAGAAAGCAAGCTAACATTTCGAGTCGAGGTGACTGTTCATTAGAGCCGACATGAAGTGTGAAGGGGACAGCATTTATACAGTAGTAGGGGGCTGGAGTGCTGGGGGAGAAAAGGTGTTAATAGTACAGATTGAGTGATCAGAATGTGGGAATGGCAAAACAATGATTAATCAAACTGCCAAACTGGAAAGATCAGATGGTCCCACTGGAAGGGCAGAGTGGGGTGTGTAGGCGGGGAGAGGACAGAGAATGCAACTAGTAACGTTCTTCACCAACCTGTCTACCTGCGACTCCACTTGGGAGGAACTATGCACCTGCACCCCTAGGTCCCTTTAGTGGGCAACACTCCCCAGGGCCCTGTCATTAAGTGTATAAGTCCTCTCTTGATTTGCCTTGCCAATTTGCAAGACCTCACATTATCTAAATTAAACTCCATCTGCCACTCCTCAGCCTATCTGATCAAGATCCCATTGTACTCCTTCACTATCTACTACACCACCAATTTTGGCATCATCTGCAAACGTACTGACCATACCTCCTATATTCACATCCAAATCATTCATTTAAATGATGAAAAGTAGTGGACCCAGCACCGATCCTTACGTCATATCACTGGTCACAGACCTCCAGTCCGACCACCCTCCACCACCTGCAGCCTCTGCCTCCTATCTTCAAGCGAATTTTGTATCCAGTTGGCTAATTCCACCTGGATTCTATGTGGTCTAACCTTGCTAACCAGTCTACCATACGGAACCTTGTTGAACACCTTATTGAAGTCCATATTGAAGTCGTAGTTGAAGATTTCCGCATCCCAAGAATGAGTAGAAAATGAAATGGTGCACTGAACAGAAGGGAGGAAATCTTTTGCTAAACCCTTTATGTAGAAATAACCCATTTTCTCAGCTCCACTTTCAAAGTAGCTGTGTGATGAGACATGGTGCTGCCGACCCTCTTGTCACTGCTATACTGCTGCATATCTGCAATCCACTCTTCATACAAGGCCATAACTGCTGCTATCTTCAAGTAAAAATGTTCGTGCATGACTTCTTTAAAGCATGGCAATACGGTGGAAACATCATCTTCAGGTCCACTCTATCCAGGCTTCTCAGTATTCTGTAAGTTTCAGTTAGATTCCCTCCATCCTTCTAAACTCCATTGAGTACAGACCCAGAGTTCTCAACCAGTCCTCATATGATAACCTGTTCATCTCCAGGATCATTCTTATAAACCTCCCGTGGGCCCACTCCAAAGCCAGCACCTCCTTCCTTAGATATGGAGCCCAAAACTGCTCACAGTATTCCAAAGAGATAGTAAGAACTGCCGATGCTGGAGTCAGAGATAACACAGCATGAAAGAAAGGTCCCGACCCGAAACGTGAGCTTTCCTGCTTCTCTGATGCTGCCTGACCTGCTGTGTTCCTCCAGCTCCACATTGTGTTATCAAACTATTCGAAATGCAGTCTGACCAGTGCTTTACCCCGCCTCAGTATTACATCCTTGCTTTTGTAGTGTTGCTCTCTTGAAATGAATGCTAACATTGCATTTGTCTTCCTAACTTGACAACTAAACCTGCATGTTAACCTTAAGAGAATCCTGAACTAGGACTCCCAAATCCCTTTGTGTTTCACATTTCTGAACCTTTTCCCTATTTAGAAGATAGTCTATGTCTCTATTCTTCCTACCAAAGTGCATAACCTTACACTTCGCCACACTGTATTCCCATCTGCCTCTTTTTTGGCCACTGTCCTAGCCTGTCCAAGTCCTTATGGAACCTCCCAACCTTTTCAACACTACCTGTCTCTCATCTGTTGCTGTGTCACTTGAAAACATAGCATCAATGCCCTCAGTTCCTTTGTCCGGGTTGTTAACATATAGTGTTATTGATTGTGGTCTCAACATTGACTCCTGTGGAACTTTACTAGTTATAGGCTGCCATCCTGAAAAAGACTCCTTTATCCCCACTCTGTGTTTGCTAGTCAGCCAATCCTCTGTCTGTGCCAGTACCTTGTCCCTAACACAATGGGCTCTTATCTTATTGAGCAGCTTCCTGCGCAACATCTTGTCAAAGGCCTTCTGGAAATTCCAATAAATCACGTCAGTCGGCTCTCCTTGCTTGTTAATTCCAAAAAGAATACTATCAGATTTGTCAGGCATGATCACTCCTTGACAAGGCTGTACTAACTCAGCCCTAATTTACCATACATTTCCAAGTACTGTGCAATGTCATCCTAAATAGTGTACTGCCACATCCTGTCAGGAATGGTGGTGGGCGATTAAACAACACACTGGAGGAGGAGGCTCCACAAATATCCCCATCCTCAATGATGGAAGAGCCCAACAACACAGTACAAAAGACAAGACCGAAGCATTCACAGCAATCTTCAGCCAGAAGTGCCGAATGGATGATCCATTGCAGCCTCTTCCAGTCGTCACCAGCATTACGCTTAGCAGTATTCAGCATCAGAGCAGCAGGAAAGTTGACGTTTTGGGTTTACACCCTTCATCCACACTGTATTGACTCTGATTCCAGCATCTGCAGCTCTTGCTATCTCCAAGTGACTGAAAACCCCACTGTGAAGCTTTTTCCAAGGATGCTCACCTTGAAGAAGTTGTCCTCCTCCCTCTGAAAAGATCTCAGTGGATCTCTCTCCCATTGCAACCCACTGGTGATCTCCTCCACCCTGAAGCTCTTCAACCACATACTGAAACACACCCGTTACTACAGCCACGTCTCCTTTCTCAGTACCTGCCTATACCCCATGGACTCCAAACCATGTTTAGGCCATCCCAATCCGGACCAAACCAGAACCCCCAGAGCCTCCAGAAAGAGTTTTCTCTGCAGATCCTCAGCTCCACGCTCGCAGCCATGTGCCAGCATCTTCTCTCACTATGGTCAGCCCCACCCCAGCACAGAGCCTCTTTCCTAGACCCACAAAGGACCTCTTAGCAACAATTTGTAGCTTGGGTTGTGAATGCAGTTGTTTGTTAGCTCACCGAGCCAGTTGTTCTATGGTGTGCAGACATCTCATTATCCTTCTAGGCAACATCATCAACGTGCCCTCTAATCGAAACATTGGTGCTCTGCTTCCTTCCAGATTTATGCGATCCTCTGGTGTGAAGGTCTTGTCGCTTTCGGTTCTGTTGTTTTAGCAATGGTCGGTATACAGGGTTTATTCTATGTGTTTGTTAATGGAGTCCTGTGTTGAGAATTTCTGGAAGCCTGACTCTCAACACAGGACTTTGATATTCATGGCTTTTTTTGGTGAAGTGGAACTTTTCCTTCTCATAAGTACAAACTGCTTCTGTATGGCATTAAATATTTCTTTGAGCACCGTCCACTGTACCTCAAAGATAGTAGGAACTGCCGATGCTGGAGTCTAAGATAACAAGGTGTAGAGCTGGATGAACACAGCAGGCCAGGCAGGATCAGAGGAGCAGGAAGGCTGACGTTTCGGGTCTGGACCCTTCTTTTTTTTTCTGAAGAAGCTTCCAGACCCGAAACATCAGCTTTCCTGCTCCTCTGATGCTGCCTGGCCTGCTGTGTTCATCCAGTTCAACACCTTGTTATCTCCACTGTACCTCAGTTGTTTTACCTATTGGCACAGCTTCCCAGTTTACAGTGGACAATGTCTGCCTCATACCATTAAAGTCTGCCTTACTAAAATCCAAAATTCCACTGTTCCATCTTTGCTTATCTCTTACAAACATTACATGAAACTTGATCATGTTATGATCACTTCTGACAAATGCTCGTGAATAACTACGTCACCAATTAAGTTTGCTGACTTGCTCGCCAAGCTGGCTTGTTTTTGTTCAGACATTTCGTCAACATGCTAGGTAACAATATCAGTGAGGCCTCCGATGAAGCGATGTTGTTTGACGCTGCTTTCTCCCCGTAACCCTTGATCCCCTTGACAATCAAAAATCTATCTATTTCTGTCTTAAATATACTCAATGACCTGGCCTCCGCAGCCTTACATGGCAATGAATTGCATAGATTCACCACTGTCTGGCTGAAGATGTTTCTGCTTATCTCGGTTCTAAAGGGTCTTCCATTTACTGTAAGGCTGTATCCTCAGGTCCTCTTCTGCCCTACCAAGGGAAACATCTTCCCAACGTCCACTCTGTCCAGGCTGTTCACTGTTGTGTAAGTTTCAGTTAGATCCCCCTCCTCCTTCTAAACTCCATCGAGTATAGACCCAGGGTCCTCAAACATTCCTCATATGTTAAGCCTTTCATTCCTGGGATCATTCTCATGAACCTCGTCTGGACTCACTCCAGGGCCAGTACATTCTTCCTAAGGTATGGGGCCCAAAATTGCTTACAATACTGTAAATGTGGTCTGACTAGAGCTTTGTAAAACCTCAGACATACATCCCTGCTTATATTTTCTAGTCCTCTCGAAATAATGCTAACGTATTTGCCTTCCTAACTACCAACTCAACATGCAAGAGAGGAGGTCTGAGAGGAGGTGCAGTTGAACAAGCTTCCGGCAGATGTAGTTGTCAGGAACGTTTGAACTGTTCTTAATTTCTCACATCTCACAGTTGGAGCATACCACTCCATGAACTGCCATTTCTCACTATAATGTATTAAAAATAAATAAGCAACTAAATAAATAAATTTTATCTATTACTTAAATTATTGTTATTACTTACCAACCAACAGGCTGAATTAGTATATTATCCTCCAAAAAACAGCCCAAAAAACTCTACCTTGCACTACAGGCAAATTGCCACTCTCAAACTGTAAAGCTATGAAAGAGTTTATAAAAAAAATAGAATGTAGGGGTAAAAAAAGTCACCTGATTAATACTGTCAAATCAGGAGTTCTCCTGTGTAGCACGTCACTTTTTAACTCATAATGTCACCAGGTGTTCCTCCAAAGATTCTTTGTGGTGTTCCTGCTATAGCAAGCCTAGCTCTTCAGATAAGCTCAGGTAATATCTCTGTAAATTATTTGTATCCCTCACGCAGGTGCCTCTCCACCTATTTTTGTGTTGTCTGCAGATTTGGCTACAGTACATTTGCTTCCTTCTTACAAGTCATTATATAAATACTGTAAAGAGTTGCAGTTCCAGCACTGATCGATGTGGAACTCTACTGGCTACAGGCCACCAATCTGAAAAAAAAATCCCTTATCCCCACTCGCAGTTAACTGTCCGTTGGCCAATTCTCCATCCATGCCAATACATTACTTCCAGCACTGTGGGCTCTTATGATTTAACCCTTTGCGAGATACCTTGTCGAATGCCTCCTGGAAATCCAAATAAAATATGTCTACAGGTTCCCCTCTATCCACGGTGGTTGAGGGTCCATCAAAAAACTCTAATGAATTAGTTAGACACAATTTCCCTTTCTTGAAGCCATGCTGACTCTGCTTGACCAGATGTCAATCACACTTTCTGCTAAGTTATTAGATATGTATACTTCAAAGTGATGTCGCATCAATGCCAAACTCAATTTTGTTTTCCCCTCACAGTTGAATATTTGTTGATAAGCATTTAGTTTGCTTGAAAAATAATTAATTAGCTGTTCAATTCCCATTTTGTCCTATAATAACATTGCGCCAACAGTAGCATTACTCTCATCAGCAGCCATTTTAAATGGCTTAGTGTAATTTGGTGCTGCTAAAACCAGTGCAGTATTACATTTTTGCTTCTGTGGGTGCTAATTTGTCCCACAGTGTGGGGACGCAATGCCCCAGTGGTATTAACACTAGATGTTAATCCAGAGACTCAGGTGATGTTCTGGGGACTCGTGTTCAAATTTCACCACAGCAGATGGTGGAATTTGAATTCAAAAAATAAGGAATCAAGAGTTTATGTTGATCATGAATCAATTGTGTGTGTGTGTGTGTGTGTGTGTGGTGGAATCTGGTTCACTGATGTTCTCTAGGGAAAAAAAGACTGCTGTCCTTACCTGATCAGACCTACAACATGTGATTGTCTTTAAACTACCCTCAGGGAAATTAGGGTTGGGCAATAAATACTAGTCTGGTCAGTGACACCTGTGTCCTGTGAATGAAATAAAAAATCACTTTTGCTTTAGCACGTTCATTTTTAGCCAAGCTTATGATCAACTCAGTAGGTGAACTCTAGCTACTGTGCCTCATGACTGAACTTTATATTTTCCCTCACTCAGGCTAACTCCTCTGAGTTGAGTCTGTAAGGTTTTGTTTTATGGAAACACATTACCTACATTAGCTTCATGTATAGTCAAAGATGTTTACCCTGGCCTATTTACACAAATGAATATCTTTTGCCAGTCCTCAGATTTTCTATTTCTCTAATCTCCTTTTTGATTCCCATATGACCATTTCCTTACACATAGCTATCTAGGTGAAATATTAGAGGTATCCATCCGAACTGCACCTTCTCGGATTTTTGATACTTGATGCTCATCTAAGTAAATATTGGTTTACTGGAATATGTTTCTTGGATTTTTTGCATAATCATGATTTCATTCAAATTCTCAAAGTTTTTCTCCAACTGCAGTTATTGAAACCACTGATCCCACATCATTTCTTTGTTTATTGCAAATTCTACAAATGTCTGATAAGGTTTCTTGCTTATTCTGCAAAATTTTAATTCATAAATTACAGGAACAAGCTCATAAGCATCGAATATTGCTCTTCTAACAGCTTCATAGTCTGCAGATTGTTCTTTTGACAAACTGGTACATGCATTTGTAGCTACTAAGAATCTCTGTAATAGTAAGGTCGAAACATCTTTTCGTCATTTGACTTTCACAGCTGTCTTCAAATGAGGTGAAATATCTGTCATCTCTACCCCTTCTAAATTTAGGCTCTAAATGCAGATATCTAGTTCAGTCAAACTTCCATTGAAATCAGAATCATCCGGTGAGTTTTTAATCCCTTCTTTCTTTCTTTCTCTAAGCTTTTCTCTATCCGAATCATGTTTTCTGATTATCCTCTTTATTTGAAGTTGAGACTGTTTTTATTGCATTCCCATTTCTTTTTCTTTCTCCAGTCTTCCTCCTTCTTTAGGCTATGTTTGCCTTGTTTTTGCCAATTAAAGCGTTCTTATTTTCATCTTTCTTTTAAAATTTATCTTGTCTTTACATTTCCCTTTTTCCCTTATCTAATTCAGTTTGTGCCATTTTCTTTTTCCTCTAATACAAGTTTTGTCATTGTTAACTAAATCTTGGCTGATTCTAGTAGTGATGCATTAATTTCCGTTCTCACTCCTTTTAATTCTAAATGGTGGATGATCTCTTTAAGCATCTCAACTTAACCAGATGTTGCTTTTAATTCTACCTTCAATTTATCCGCCAACACTTTCATTTTAACTTAAGTCAAATTTTTTAAATAATCTGCTGTTACATCTTCCACTCCCAGAAAGTCTTAGTGACATCAAAGTCATTTTGACATTTCAACTCATGTAACATACTTCACATCAACTCTTGTGTCTATTACATTCATGGTTATTACATTCACATACTCATTTTCTGAAAATCCACAGATTTCTATTAAATTGAACAGGTGGCATTCCCACAAAGGACCTCCACATTGTTATTCTAAGCTCTTGACAATACAAGTCAGATCCCAGAGTGAAACCTGGCTTAATAGACTGCAAGTTTTATTTTTGCAGTTTGTTTCCCATGGTGCTCAGTCACTAGATATTTTCACAAGAGGCTACCAATGCACTTTTACCAAAAAAAAAATCGAAGTGTATTACACATAAAGGGAAAAATGGACTACTTTGTACTATGTAAGAACTATTTGAAATCATCTTATTCCAAATAACTGAAATAAGAATTCAGCCCTTACAGATACACAAACCTCAGTGAAGGGCCACCCTGTTTCCACTTTAAGATTCTTTGTTCAGTTGGCACAACTGTATTTGGTTTCTTTCTGGCAAACATCTGCAACCTTGGCACTATCTCCTTTGTTTAATATCTCTTTATGAAATCTTTAAAACAAATTGCTAACACAGCTAATTTACTCCTTAAACGTGTACTCCTTAATCTCAAGCATTCATCCGTTCTGCAGATAACAAGGTGTAGGGCTGGATGAACACAGCAGGCCAGGCAGCATCAGAAGATCAGGAAAGCTGACGTTCCGGGTCTTGTCTTCATCTCTGAACCTTAAGGCCTAATGTTTCTGAAGCTTTTGTTTTACTAACCTCTAAACTAATAGGAATAAGTTTCTTCTGTCTGATACTTTTGGAGACTGATAAACTGCACTGTTGATATTGTAGACTTTTTCCTCTCTGGGTGACCTGTTTCACTCTGAAAGAAAACTGTACAGTCACTGACCTTCTGAATGGCTTTCTCTTTCTAAAATAACTTCTTTCTGTTTCTGTCTCCCTGTGTCATAGGAAACCTCAACTGTTTTCTTGTCTTCTATGCTTGTTTTCTAAAGCACTGAAGTATTCGCATTGAGGGTTTTTTCCCAAGCTACATTTTAAATGCATGCAAACATACTTCCCGACAACCTGCTACTACTCAGGACTTAGAATGAAACTAAAACTACATCCTCCCTTCTAACCTGCACAGTTATAGATACAATCAAACATAAAGGTTTACATTGCTTTGTCCACTTTAGAACCCAAGTTTCCAATTATTGATCACATATCATGAATCTTCATAAAATGGTATAAAACTGTTAATAATTGAGTACACTTAGCTGTAAAGTGGAGTCTTCATTTGGCCATGAGGACAGATCATGTGGAAGATGGATATGCTAAAAATAAAAGTGCACGTTTAAGGTTGTAGCATTTTTGCTATTTAAATATTAAATAGCAGTTTGCATTTTTAAGTTGATGGTACACATATCTGGAAACTAATATAAAATTACAATATTATTGTCATGAACAACAAGGAAAAGGTGCAGATATTGTGCTACTTTTGAATTCTTGTTTCATTGCTTTCTATTTTATTTCTCAGGCCTCTCATGGTAAAATCTCAGTACCACAGTCTGTAATTGTTGTGACAACTCGATTTGCAGTTCTGACTGGAGCAGGGTGGAGTCTGTGCCGATCACTCATTTACCTTTTCAGAACATATTCTTTTTTGAATTTATTGTTCCTGTGTTACCCGTAAGTTGCTGTTATTGAAATTTTTCAAACAAGTAATCATATTAACTATAACAGAACAAAAACTGGCATTCATGTAGCATTTGTTATGAAATTTAGAAGAATGAGAAATGAACTTATAGAAACTTATAAGAAGCTGAGGGGCATTGACAGAGTGAAGGCTGAAAGGATTTTCTTCTTGTGGGTGAGACTAGAACCAGGAGACACAGTTTAAAGATAGCAGATTAGGAAAAATTCTTTCCTCTGATGATTGAGAGTTTGTGGAATTCTCTTTCCAGATGATGGAGGCAGGGACATTGGATATATTTAAGGCAGAGTCGATAGTTTCCTTACTCATAAGGGTCTCAGAGATGGCACACCCATCATTCAGATGCTTGCAATCACCGCGCTGAGTTGGAAAAAAAATCAGTGACATCACAGAAATTCAGTAAATTCATTGCTTAGTAAGGAACTGTCATTAGGGACTGTCCCTAAACAGAAATTAGAATTAGAAATTCTAAATTAGAAAAGTTTAATCAAGGGATTAATTGAGAAACACCAGGGATAAGCAAAAGCCTGAGCCAGACAATAAAGTATTATAAGTAAGCCAGAATAGGATAAGGGAAGGAGAGTAAAGCTAATGTAAGGGGATTAACTACATTAACTTTAAGACTAATTAATTAAGATACTCAGTATGTGAGTAACTAAAACTAAGTGAGTAACTTTAAGGTACGGCATCTCAGGTTGGTTGAATAGAATGTGACATATAGTGCGTGAGGACTCATGCTCCTAACAGGTGGCGTCGATGACTTTGTGCGGGAACTGCTGTCCCCTGTAGAAACTTCAGCTCCAAGAGAGGTAGTGCAGGAGTCTCCTGGAGCCCCACTTACAAAATGGCTTTTGATTTTGGAAGCTGATGGGGCTGCTGGTTCCTCAGGGGAACGTAGTCAGAGCCAAGCTTCTGGCATCGCAAGCCGCCTGACGATACCAGAGTTGAGGAAGATGAAAAGAATTGCTTTATGATAGAAGATTCTTTAGTTAGGGGGAACAGACAGATATCTGTCAGGCCATCAACGTGACTCCAAGGATGTTCCAGAGCAGTTACAAATCACACTTATGGGGGAGGGTGAAGAGCCAGAGGCTGTGATCCATGTTGGTACTAGTTACTGATGTATGAAGGGGAACGTGATCCTCCAGGCAGAATTTGGGCAGCTAGGTAGAAAGTTAACATGCAGGACCTCAAAGTATTAATCTCTAGTGCAATGTGCAAGTGTGTACAGAAATAGGAGGATAAGGCAGATGAATGTGTGCCTGGAAAATTGGTGCATGAGGGAAGGTTTTGGATTCCTGGGACACCGGGATTGGCTAAAAGGAAGATGGCACCTGTACAAGCCAAATTAGTTGCCCCTGAACAGAACGGGGACTGAGTTCCTTGCATGGTGTTTACTAGTGATGTTGGGAGGACTTTAACTTGGCAGAGGTATGGGAACCAGGAGTGAATATTAGAAATAAACAGTAGGACTAACTTGGAGATACAGCTGGCATTAGCACAGAGAATAACAAGTTAATAGGTAAGGTCTGAGTAAGGGAGAAAGAAATGAAATACAAAACATTCATGTATGTAAGTGCACAGAGGACAGTAAATAACGTTGGGGAGTTACAAACGCACACTAATGTGTGTAAATACAATGATGTAGAGATAACAGACTTGGCTCAAGAAAGGGCAAAACTGGGTGCTAAATATTTCTCGGTGTAAGTTCCTCAGGAAAGATAGAAAAGAAGGGAAAGTAGGAGGGTCAGCAGTATTGGTTAAGAAGTGCATTGCAGTGCTGGAGAAAGAGGATGTCTCAGGGTTGAGTCTATTTGACTAGAACTAAGGAATAAAAAGTGTACGATTACATTGCTTGGTGTTGTCTATCAAACACCAGACAGTGCATGCATGCGAGAGACAGTGGCGTGCATGCGAGAGACAGACAGTGCATGCGTGCGAGAGACAGACAGTGCGTGCGTGTGAGACAGACAGTGCATGCGTGCGAGAGACAGATAGTGCGTGCGAGTGAGACAGACAGTGCGTGCGTGCGAGAGACAGACAGTGCCAAAAGTGGCCTAACTGACATCCTGTTCATCTGCAACATGACATTCCAACTCCTATACTCAATGCACTGACCAATAAAGGTGATGCATTTTGGTAGAAAGAAAATTGAGAAACAATATAAAATAGAGGGTATAATTCCAAAACGGAGGGTCCACAGTGTATATGTGCACAGATCATTGAAGATGGCAGGAGAGGTGGAGTTAGTAAAGCATACAGTGTGCTCAGCTTCAGAGTACAAATGCAAGGAGGCAGTGTTGAACTTTTACAAGACACTTGTTAGACCTCAGCTGGAATATTATTTACAGTTGTGGCATCACATTATAGGAAGGATGTGAATCTATTGGAGAGAGTATAAGAAGCAATTTGCAAGAATGGATCCCAGAATGACAAACTTCAGTGAGGATAGATTGAAGAAGTTGGGCCACTTTCCTTGGAGACAAGAAGGCTGAGAGAAGATGTGATTGAGATTTTGAAAATCATGAATGGACTTGATAGGGAGAAGCTGTTCCTGTACATAAAAGGAACAAGTACGAGAGGGCGTAGATTTAAAATGATGTGCAGAAGAAGCAAGAGTGATGTGAAAAAATCATTTTCACACAGCAAATAGCTAAGGCATGGAATGCACTGCCTGGAAATATGGTGAAAGCAAATTCAATTTAGGCATTCAAGACAGCAAAGACTGATTGTTGGATTGAAATAATGTGCAAGGGTCTGGGAAAAAACAGGAAATTGGCACAAGGTATTGATATTTATTTGATTAGCTAATGCAGGCATGATGGGCAGATTGGTTTCCTTCTGTGCCTTAACATTTTTGTGATTCTGTATCAGAGGTAGGCAGGAAAGTAAATATGAAGCCACAATCGGGTTCATCATGAACTGATTAAATGGAGGAGCAGACTTGATGGGCGAAGTTGCCTTACTCGTCCTAATTTGTGTGTTCATATACTTGATTGGAGACAACATTTAAACTTTGGTTAAATACTATTAGATTATGTTATGACAAGTGAACTTCTTTCATCATTTGTTTTTATACAACACCTTGAAGGTAGATATACACTAATCCTGTTTTCCAACTTTCGTCCCATATCCCTGAAGGCAATGCAAGCAAATATCTAAATATTGCTTAAATGTTACAAGGGTTTCTGACCCAGTGACCCTTTCGGGCAGAGTTCCAGGCTCCCATCACCCTCTGTGTGAAAATATTTTACATCGACTTTCTTCAGCTTCTAAATTGGGGAACATGTCTTGCTATCCAACCTCTCTGTGCCCTTCAGTATGTTATACACCTCTATCGGGTTCCCTCACAACCTTCATTGCTCCAAGGAAAATAACCTCAACCTATCCAGTCTTTCCTCATAGCTCAGACAGCATCATGGCAAATCTCTTCTGCACCCTCTAGTGCAATCATATCCTTCCTATAGTATGGTCACCAGAACTGTATGCAGTACTTCAGTTATAGTCATAGTGTCATACCGAATGGAAACAGAGCCTTCAGTCCAATTCGTCCACGCCAGCCACGTTTCCCCAAAATAAACTAGTCCCCCACTTGCCTGCATTTGACCATTATCCCTCTAAACCATTCCTATCATGGACCTATCCAAATATGTTTTAAATTTTGTAACTGTACCTGTGTGTACCACTTCATCTGGCAGTTCATTCCCTGTACAAACCATCCTCTGTGTGAAAATGTTGCACCTCGGGTCCCTTTTAAATTGTTCTCCTCTCACCCTAAAAATCCACCCCCCCCCCCCCCCATTTTTGAACTCACCAACTCTACGGAAAAGACCTTTGCAATTCACCTTATCTTTGCCGTCAGGATTTTATAAACATCTTTAAAGTCACCTCTCAACCTACTACGCTCCAGTGAAAAAAGTCCCAGCCTATCCTTATAATTCACACCCTCCAGTACTGGAAACACCCTGGTATATATCTTCTCTGAACCCTCTCCAATTTAGTAATATTCTTCCTAAAGCAGCGTGACCAGAACTGTACACCATACTCCAAAAATGGCCTCACCAACATCCTGTCCTAACTCTTATATTCAGTGACCTGAGCAATGAAGGCAAGCCTGCCAATGCCTTCTTAACTATCCTGTCTACCTGTGATGCACCTTTCAAAAAGCTATGTACCTCTGTTCGACCATGCTACCCAGGGCCCTGCCCTTGTTTGTTTTATTAAAATGCAAACCTTGCATTTATCCAAATTAAATTCCATCTGCCACTCCTCAACCCATTGGCCTTTTTGATCATGATCCCTTTGTAATCTTTGATAACCTTCTTCACTGTGGACTATGCTATCAATTTTGGTGTTATCCACAAACTTATTAACAGTGCCTCCTAATTGTTTATATAAATTACAAACAAAAGCAGACCCAGCACTGATCCTGTGAAACACCACTGGTCACAGGCCTCAAGTCCGAAAAACAACCACCCTCTGTCTCCTAATGTCAAGCCAATTTTGTATCCAATTGGCAAGCTCTCCCTGAATCCCATGTGATCTAACTTGACTAATTAGTCTACCATGCGGAACCTTGTCAAAGGCTTTACTAAAGTCCATGTAGACAACGCCTACTGTTACTCAGTATTTTACACAGTTCCAGCTTAACTTTCCTGCTCATAGAGTCATAGAATCATACAGCACAGAAGAGGCTCAATCCATCAAGTCTGTACCACCAAAAATATACTACTATCTACACTAGACGCATACCTTGAATGTTATGCTTCTTTATCCCGCGCTCTGGCTAATAAAGGCAAGTATCCCACGTGCCTTGTTCACTACCCTATCTTTCTGCCCTGTTACTTTCAGGATTCTGTGGATATGCACACCAAAGTCCCTCTGATCTTCCTGAGTCCTACTATTCCAGGCTTTTTAACCTCACACTTTTCCATTGTGAAGACCAACACAAATTCTTCATAGAGGACTCAGCCCATATCTTCTGGGTCACCAAACAGATTGCATCTCTAATCCCTAGAGGGCCCTATATTTCTCTAATTATTCATAGAATCTGTGTATCATTAAACACCCTTTTGGGTTTTTCTTGCCAATGCTTTATCATGCATCGCTTAGGTTTCCTCATTTCCTTTTTAATTTCTCTAGGCATTCTGTCATATTGAGCCCTTTGTATCTGGATAAACGTCATTTTCTTTCTTCATCCTAACTTTTATATATCTTAACATCAGGGTTGGTCCCACTCTTTGTCTTTACAGGAAAATATCTGTGCTGTATTCTTGCTCTTTCTTCCTTGAATATCACTCTGACATAAGTTTATTTGCAAGTACTTGTTCCCAGTCTACTTGAGCCAAATTGTATCAAATTTGTTTTCATATTAAGAATACTAAAGCGATGGAAAATATATAAGTCAGAGACTTGTGTGATATTCTATGTCCTATGTAATAGGAATAGGAGTGATTAGAGTTGGGGTTTTCCAAAAGCATTTCGTATATGAATTGTAATGAAGAAAAGGCAGGGAAAATAGATAATAGCTGCCATGTTAAAAATGTAATTTGAATAGATATGCTCTTGAAGTGCTGGTGATTACCAGATTTTCTCAAAAATATATCCAGTTCTGCATCCCTAAATTAATACCCAGAATTTTAATAGCAATATTTTCACATTGCCTATTTAGTTTAATGATAACATTTGCAAATACTCTTTTAATGTTTTGTGATATTCCTCTGTTACCTCAAAACCTACAGAAAGAGAGCTCCTCCCTACCCAGCTTTACCCTTACCACCTTAATCTCCTTTATTTTGCTCCGTCCAGTTTTCTAATCCGACTTGGCTGTCCCTTATTTCTCTTTGATCTTAGGCTCTTATTCCCCACTAGTCTAACTCACAGCCCTCTTATTGCTTTAATTTGATCTAGTAGTATTCATATCATTGGCTCTACTCCAGGACATGCTATCATTGAAAAATACTCTGTTTCACTGGTATGTTGTGACCTGGTCTCTGCCATAGACTGATTTTCTTCATTATAAACTGATGAAAAAGCACTGTTAATAGATTTTGTGCTCAAATTATAGAAGATATGATAAACACACTTTATTTCCTATTTCTGTAGATTTGGAATGTACGTACCTTTGTTTCGATTGAATAAGGATCCAAAGAAGTCAAACTTCCCACCGTCTGTGGCTAATATAAGTCCCAATGAGACAGGAACAGTAGTTGGAAGAAGGAAAGATTGCTTAACAGTCTTAAAGGAAACATGGAAGCATCATACCAACCAGACGTACAGCATTAACACTATGCCAACCCATGCATGCTGCTTGTCTCCAGACTTGATCAGAAATGAAGTTGAACATTTGAAATTAGATTTCAACTGGCGCATGAAGGAAATTCTGGTCAATGCAATGCTTAGTGCATATTACATAGCCTTTGTTCCTGTTTGGTTTATAAAGGTGAGTAATAAATATAGAATGCAGTGGCATAATTTCTGAAGCTATTCAGCAGGATGTTATTCCAGATACATTGTCTGCTGTAGCTGTAAAAGTTGACTTATGATTGGTAGGCCCTTCTGAAGCAGGCATAGATGAATAGTTTTGGCCCAAGGTCAATTAATGCTTTTTCCTTCTGATTGGCTTTTGTCTCTGCTATCTGGTCATTCCTTTTGTTCTCTGCTTTTGCCACATCCTTTGAGACTGCTTATCTGTAGGCAGTCCGGTCAGCATAGAGGACTTGCCATGCATTGGGCAGAGTTTCCAGGACCCAAAAGAGCCAGAAGCACTAGGGGAGTACAGAATGTGCAAGAGAGAGTAAGAGAAATTTGAAAAGCTAAAAGGGGATATGAAAGGATACTGGCAAGTAAAATAAAGGAAAACCCTAAAATGTTTACAATTATATTAAAGGTAAAATGATAATGAGGAAGGCATAAAAATAGATAAATCTCCAGGGCTGGATGAAATGTGCCCCGGATTGTTGAGTGAGGCAAAAGGGGAAACCAGCCGGGACACATGCAAAAAGTTTCAATTTTTCTCTGGAGGAGTGGAGGGCAGCTAATGTGGAACAGCTATTCAAGAAATGAGCGAAGGATAAACCAGGAAACTACAAGCCGGGCAGTCTAACTTAAGTGGAAGAAATTCTGAGAGTCTGAATTACTCTATATTTGGTAATGCAGGGGTTAATCAAGAACAGTCAGCATGGTTTTGTTAAGGGTAGGTCTTGTCTGACCAACTTAATTGAATTTTTGAAGAGGTGACCAGGTATGTAGATGAAGACAATGCTTTTGATGTAGTCTGCTTGGAATTCAACAAGGCTTTTGATATGGTCCTGTATGGGAGACTGATAGCCAAGATAAGAACCCGTAGGATCCAAAGGCATTTGGCAGTTTAGTCCACAACTGGCTGAATGGTAGGAAGCAGAGGATGATGGTTCAAGGGTGTTTTTCTAACCTCCAGTGAGGTTCCGCAGGGATCAGTGTTGGAGCCCTGGCTGTTTGTGGTTTATATAAGTTATTCAGACTTTAATGTAAGAAGGTTGATCAGTAAGTTCACATACGATACAAAAATTGGTAGGGTGGTAAATAGTGAGGAGGACAGCCTTAGACTGCAAGTGGATATAGATGGGCTGGTCAGACGGGCTGATCAGTGGCAAATGGAATTTAATCCAGATAAATGTGAACAAACAAGGCAAGGGAATACATGATGAACAGTAGGGTCCCTCTGAACCCCAGTGCCTCCTCGGATCTAGTGTGCATGTACACTCGTCCCTTAAGGTATCAGGATAAGTGGACAAGGTGGTTAAGAAGGCATGCAGAATACTTGCCTTTATTTGTTGAGGCACAGAGTTTAAGAGCAGGGAGTTTATGTTGGAACTGTATAAAACGTTGTCGAGGCCATAGCTAGAGTATTGTGTGTGGTTCTGGAATCCACTTTATAGGAGGGCTGGGTGTCGGTGTCCGGCTCAGGGCTGGGCGTCGTGTCGGTGTCCGGCTC